GTTAGCTATTAATTTTAAATATCTTTTATATTAAATGTTATTTTGACCTGGTGTATTTACATCATCCTTATTATTTTCAATAGAGCCTATAATGCATAAGATATTAATTAGTACACTGGATTAAATATTTTTTAACCTCGTGTATTTATATCATGCTTATCATTTTCAACAGGGCATAAATTGCATGAGATATTAGCTGGTAAATTTTTTTTGTTACTTAGTAAATATTTTCTAATGTCCATTTCCTTCAATCTTAAAGTTCGTAAATAGGAAATAACAATCTTTACTTTTTAGTCATAAATTTAATCTATTTAATAATTTCATTTATAAAAATGCTACAAAATATAAACCAAATATATATTATTAGAAATAAAAGCAGAGAAAGTAGATTATGCACTATTTTCATATTATTATTTTCGAACCATATCTTCGATAAATTATAATAAATATTTTTTTAAATATGCATAAATAATATATTATTATATTTTATTAGATTATTATCAATGACTTTAAAATAATATACAGAATAATTTATATATATATATAAGTAATAATATCCTTCCACAAACATCAAAACCAGAAAAATATAAATATTCATGGTATTTATTTGATATAAAGTCACTTTTGAGTCTTTTGAACGAATAATCTAAAAAAATTGCTCTGAGAGGGGGGGGGGGTAGATTATGCACTTTTTTATTTCATATTATTATTTTCGAACCATATCTTGGATAATTTATAATAAATATTTTTTTAAATATGCATAAATAATATATTATTATAATTTATTAGATTATTATCAATGACTTTAAAATAATATACAGAATAATTTATATATATATAAAAGTAATAATATCCTTCCACAAACATCAAAACCAGAAAAATATAAATATTCATGGTATTTATTTGATATAAAGTCACTTTTGAGTCTTTTGAACGAATAATCTAAAAAAATTGCTCTGAGGGGGGGGGGGGTAGATTATGCACTTTTTTATTTCATATTATTATTATCGAACCATATCTTGGATAATTTATAATAAATATTTTTTTAAAAATGCATCAATAATATATTATTAAAATTAATAGATTATTATCAATGACTTTAAAATAATATACAGAATAATTTATATATATATTTAAAATTAAAAGTAATAATATCCTTCCACAAACATCAAAACCAGAAAAATATAAATATTCATGGTATTTATTTGATATAAAGTCACTTTTGAGTCTTTTAAACGAATATTCTAAAAAAAAATTAATTGCTCTGGGGGGGGGGGGTCCAAACCCGAAACCCCCCCCCCCCGTAGCTACGCCACTGATTGAAACTATATCTACTCATATTTTCCCAATAATTAATAATTTATAATAAATATATCTAAATCAATAGAGTATTTTTTAAATATTAATGATTTATAACCAATATATACATTTATATGGTATTCATAATAAATAAAAATTAACAATCAATATATTCACTATTGATTCTTTACTTTCATATGGTCGTTATGACGTATCCCAATATTTCCATCACAAAATTTAACCTTACTCATTTTTAATCCAAAATTTTTGAGTACAATACCTTTCTCCCATTTCTGATCTTTATTATCAAAAATACGACCCCATATTAATTTTCCCACCGGAAATTTTATAATGGTCTTTTCACAAGGTAATATTTTATTACTTCCATTTGGTGTTAAAAAATCCAAAAGAAATCTTGTTCTCCTATTCAAAAATAACTCTACAGGAGTAACTCCCTCCTTATTTTTTGAATTATTGTAAAATAATTGCGCTAACCAAATATCACTTTTTTCTTTTTTAACCTTTTTTATCCAATTTTTTACAATAGCTACCATCCTTTCAGCCTGCCCATTCGAGCTAGGATGATAAGGTGGAGTAAGTATGTGTTGTATTTTTAATTCATCACAGAATTGTTTAAAATTTTTACTTATGAAAGCTGGACCTCCATCAGACACTAGTTTGTCCTGCAAACCAAATCTTGCAAATAATTCACTTAATTTATTATTAACAATTTTAGTTGTATAACCATGTACCTCTGCATATTCTATCCACTTTGAATATGAATCCACCACTAAAAAATATGATCTTTTATCCAAATCAAAAAAATCTATATGAATACGTTCCCACGGTTTCTTTGATCTAGGCCATATTTACCCTAACTCTTTGCGGGGCATATTTGCACATGTATTACATGGAACACATTTCCTTGTAATTTTTTCAATATCCTTACCCATACCAGGCCACCATACATATTCACGAGCCCAAGATTTTATTTTATCTCGACCTTGATGTCCGGTATGTAATAAATTCACACTTTTAATGCGTAATTTCAAAAGAATTATAGCTCTATTTCCTCGCATTACACAATCATCCACGACGGACAATTCTTTTTCAATTTTTTTATAATTATTACCCCACGGTTTTTTACCCAACAAGAATAATTTTATTTGACTTAATTCTTTATCTTTTAGAGTATTTATTTTAAGAGTTTCCCAATCTGTGGGACCTCCTTTTAAGATATATGATAGAGTTCGCACCAATGCATCTTCTCTATCTATAATCATGTTATCAGTTATTTCAGGAGTAGCACAACCTGCCCCTAATCTCGACAATATATCTGGCAAATGATTTTCTCTTCCTCGCCTATATTTTATTTCCACATTAAAACTTCCCACAAGTAACAACCACCGTTGTAACCTCGGGGACATCATTAATTCTTTGTTATCTTTCTTGAACAAATGAATTAATGGCTTGTGATCTGTCTAAATCACAAATCTTTTCCCGATTAAATACTCGCGACATTTGGTCAACCCAAAAATAATCGCTAAAGCCTCCTGTTTTATAATAGAATATCTAGTTTCCACTTCATGAAATATTCGTGAAAAAAAAATAATTGGTCTCTCTAAACCATCAATGACATGTAATAATGAGCCTCCGACACCTTTATATGATGTATCAACAGCAAGAATTATCTCCAAGTCATTGTTAAAACACACTAAAATTGGTTCCTCACCAATTTTTCTCTTTAAATTTTCAAAAGCATTTCTTTGTTCAATTTTCCATTCAAAATTAACACTTTTTTTAATAAGTCATATAATGGAGCTGCTATTTTTGCAAAATTATCCACAAATCTATGATAATAATTTATCATGCCCATAAAAGATTGTACTTCAGCTTTATTACTAGCCTGATTTATGTTTAAAATATTTTTTAAATTTTTATCAAGCGGCTTCACTTCAATTCCATTAATTTGATGACCCAAATACACTATTTCGGTGACACCAAGAATACTTTTCTCTTTACTGGCTTTTAAACCTTTATCTTGAATTCTCTTGAAAACCTCTTCAAGACGTTGATTATCTTGTTCTGCCGTCACTCCAGATCAACACATCATCCATATAATAAAATACGCCTTCCAAACCCTGGAAAACTGATGCCATTGTTCTCTGAAAATCGGTGCAGATACACTTAATCCAAAAGGTAATCTACAAAATGCAAATAATCCTTTAGTGTTATTGTCAACAATTTACGAATTTATTCTTTCAAAGGCAATTGTAAATATGCTGATGAAAAGTCAACTTTTGAAAAATATTTGGCTCCCTTTAAATTTGCCAAAATTTCTTCAATTCGAGGTAATGGATATTTCACTTCCACAACCCATTTGTTAAGTGTTACTCTAAAATCTGCACATAATCTAAGTTTTCCATTAGATTATGTCCTCAAATAGAGTTAAAAATGCTACACATGGTGTAACCCATTCACTATATTCCACAGGAATAATAATACCATCATTAACCCATTTATCTAATTCTTCATTTATTTCCTTTTTCCACTCTAAAGGAACTCTACGACACGCTAAGAAAATAGGTGAAAATCCCTCTTTTAATTTCAAATCCACTTGATAATCATTTAGACATCCTAAAGTGTCTTCAAAAATTATACCATATTTTTCCACTAAAATTGGTGTAGCATTTTTAACTCTATTTAATTCATTAATTTCATTTTTAATTTTTTTATCATTATCAATTTCATTATTGATCTTATATTGATTTGAATCTATCATGGATTTTGCAGGATATTCACAAATATTTTTATTAACTATAGATTCTTTCACTTCACTCATTAATTTATTCATTTCCCTTTCTTTAAGCTTTTCCCTGACTTCATTAGCCATTATTTTTCATTCGGCATTATCTTTAGCCAATTCGCTATCAATTATAAATAAATCCCAATAATTATTTCTAGGTCCAAGTTTACTAATCCAATCCCAACCCATAATTGTTTCAACATTTTTTTCCACTATCCATAAATCCAAAATTATACGAATATCATGAAAAAGAACATCCCACTGAGTTCTACCCAAAACTTTGATTTCAGATCCATCAAATTGTTTTATACACATATTTATTTTTTCAATAATATCATTAGGCCAATATTTATAAAAATTTTCACAAGACATGATTGAAATACTTGCCCCGGTATCAAATAACATTTCAACCATTTGTGTCCACCAAATTTTAAATTAATATGAGGACATGAACTCTATTCCTTTGCACCCTCAGTTATTAAATTTTTAGGCAATTTAATCGGTTGAATGGTATAATTTGAATCTCTTTTTCAATACAATTAATATTCATACCTAAATTCATCTCATAATTTAAAGATCTCTGAATCTCATTTATGTTTTTATTAAAAATCTCTCATGGATATTTCTCACTTGTTTGATTACAATAATCCTTTTTATTCAGATTATTGGTTAATTTAAAATTTTTTATTTCATCAAAATGACAATAAAAATTTTATACATTAAAACTCTTTTTATTCGAGTTAAATTTCAATGTATAATCATCATTCCCATGATGATTATCTATTTTATTATATATATCCACAAAATTTTTAATAAAACTATATATATCAAAATATTTATTATTCTCTAAATATGATTTTTCTATTTTTATATGATTCTCTTTCAAATCATATAGTCACTGTGACCCACTCACACTTTGGATACAATGTATGGCAATGTGTCCCATTTCTTCACATTTGAAACACATTCTATCATGGTCTGTATTGTATATTTCTGTTTTATCCATATTTGTAATACTAGGATTTTGTATATTTCGAACCACTGGATTTATCACTACCGATGTTCGTTGCGGAAATCCACTTTTGAAATTGGCTTCTTTCACCATGCAATTTCTTTTAATATGTCCTACAAAACCACATCTATGACACACTATGTCATTTTTTTCACTTGGTTTTGCAGTCACATTCTCATTAGTTTTTCGGTCTCTTGAATAACAATTTTTACCGATATGTCCTTTTCTTCCACAAAGTTCACAACTTTCAATCACATTATTACTTTTGATTTTTAAGTTGAAAACATCTCTGGACAAATTTTTCATATTTTCTCTCATTTCTCTAATTTCACATAAAATTAGAGATTCCTCTGTACTTTGTCTCAAAGTATTATTGGTATTATTTGTATTATTATTTTTCAAAATTTCTACTGGTTTCTCGATTAAAACCTCAGAAATTTGCTTTTTAAATTCTATCACAATTGAATTTAATTTTTTAATCCTCTGATATGTCAATATTTTGAGTAAAATTAAATACTTCACCTGTATCTAATATTTTCTCGGATTTTTCTTCCAGTATAACATTTTTTTTACCATTTAAATTTTTTAATTCTAACAAAATTAAATGTAAACTATTTTTGATATCTTCAGAAATATCTGGAGATTTCACCAAAACTTTAGGAATTAAATTTTTAGTATTTGTATTTTTTATATCATTTTCTTTATTTTTAAGAGATCTTCTTTTTATTTTCCTTATTACTTGTTTCATTATAATTAAGATTACATAAAACACAAAAAAAATTACTGCAGTAATGACATTATTGGTCACATCCACTTTATTAAAGTTTTATAAATTTTATTAAAATTACTCTTAAAATTTGCCATTTTATTAATATTATACTTATTATAATTATCATTAAAATAAATAGCCATTTTTTCATTAATTACCCAAAATTTAAAATTTTATCTCATATATTTCTAATTTTAAGCCAAAAAATCTTACTATTGCGTCGTGTAATTTATAATACAAAAAAAAAATTTCTTACCTTTATATATATCCTGAATTACTATTATTTTGAGGAACCCGGTCCTAGAAATTGTTCTCCCTTTATAATATCTAAAATTCTCTTAACAAAAATATTCACTATTTTGTTTTTTTTTATTTAAATTATCTTGTTTTCCTAATAAGTGTTCACGAATCCTGGTCGTTCGGTACCAATAATATAAATTCTCATATTATTGAATTTATTTAATTTCAATTTCTTTATTTAATATCTATTCTTCATATAATTTATATCACAATATAATTTTCTTCTAATAAAATATTTCAATTTTTTTTTTAATTCAATCCACAAAAAGTAAAAAAGTTAAAAGTAAAAACAAACAAAGTCAATTTTTTAACACTTCTCGAAAAATAACAATAATAAATAATATTTTTGATTGACATTTTATAATATATATGTATAAATATATATCATAATAGTACAAAACTACAACACATATGAAGAAATAAAAGAAAATATATTCTACATGGCAGTATCTATATATTAGATGATAATATAAGAATATTACTTTATTTAATTTATTGTATATTTTTTAAGAATTTTCATATATTTTGTTAATTTTAAATAAACTCTTATTCTATAAATATTTTTCCAACCTTTAATTATTTAGGTGAATACAAAATGAAGACGCAATTTGTTATTTTTATGATATTTGATTTTATACAAAATAGATATTTATAATATACATTTACAAATTACTAGTCAGTCAATTATATTTTCTTAATTCGTTTAAAATGTCCTCGCATACATCTTTTTTGGTACAAAATTTTTAAGCCAAACTAACAAAAATATGTTTAGTGAATTGATGGTCAACTTTTTTTTGAATAAGATAAATTTTACTTTATTAGTTAAAAGCATTCAATTCGGTATTTCTAAATCCACTTTTTGTCAAAAATGTCCTTCTTATATAATTAGTTTTTTAGAATTATGCCATTCTATTTACATTAAAAAATCCTAAATATTTATAAAATAATTCAAGTTAAATCTGATACTAGGTTAACCATCCTATTGATAACAATAAAAAAAATTTTTAAATTGCTCTCCTGCAAATTATAAAAAGTAGAGATGGAATATTCTAATTCTCAGGCAACGATATACTGATAAAATAGATATTTACAACATAAATTCACATTATATTGATTATAATATATTTCAACAACTTATTTATAATATTCTCACAAATCAACAATCAAATTGTAATACTGAAAATCAATAGCTATGTATTATTGTTTCAAGATCCTTAACAGTAAATTTTTATCTCAAATTTATACATAACTGATTAAGTGTATATAAGTTAAAATTCAAACTATTAAATAGGTATTCTTATATTTTTAAATTTTAGCTACCAGGAAGGTACAGTAAATTTTTGTCTCAAATTTAGACATAACTGATCATTATTATAACATACAACTCCTTGGATTTTCTTCTATAAGGGCTAAAAATGATCATTTACAAAAATAAGTTATGCATAACTTTTAAGTGTATAATTCAAACTATTAAATAGGTATTCTTATTGAAGAACTTTGAGATCGGGTCATGATATTTTATTAATAAAAATCCAAAATTATTTTAAACATAAAAAAGATTAATAAAGATTTTCAAAATTATTTTACAGAAAAAAATAAAGTATATCTAAACTATAAAAAATTCGTCCCTTTTATAGGGAAAACAAAAGGCGCAATTATAAATTAAAATTAAATTGGCGCAAAGTGAAAAAAAGAACGTTTTTGTGGAACCGAGTTGTGTTAGTTTTATCGTACATAATTGGAGATAAAACCTACCCCCCTAAACTTCCCAAAACTCAAAATATACCTTGGGATGCAGGGTGGTCTCCCGGACCCAACGGTCTAACTCATATTTTCGGATCACCTTACTGAGGACTCCTAAAGTAAGAAATCCAGTAAAGTGAGAGAAAACACAAAAGCCATATGTTTTATTTTCACTGTGTTTAACTTAAAACAACCTTTTTTTTTTAACTTTCATTTTATTGTAAACAAAGGAGGGGATTAAAAAAAACTTTATTTATCTTTAACATAAACAAAAGAGGGGGATTAAAAAACTTTTTCATCTTAACCATAATAAAAGAGGAGGATAAAAAAAACTTTTTTTTTCATCTTTAACCCTTATATTTTTAAATTTTAGCTGCCAGGAAGGTACAGTAAATTTTTGTCTCAAATTTAGACATAACTGAACATTATTATAACATACAACTCCTTGGATTTTTCTTCTATGGGGGCTAAAAATGATAATTTACAAGAATAAGTTATGCATAACTTTTTAGTGTATATAAGTTAAAATTCAAACTATTTAATAGGTATATATTTTTAAATTTTAATAACATATCAGCATAAGGAGAAAGCCAGACGGAGACAGGAACTTTGTCGAAGCAAGAAAAGACAAGAGCACTTATTGCTTCAATATCAAAGTGTAGTAGTACTGAAAATCAAGATCAATGTAATATTGCTTCAATCCTTAATAGTAAATTTTATTATCTCTTTATTTTTTATTATATAAACTGGTTACAAGTCTGTTCTGATAATAAAAACCAAGACCTATATAAATTTCTTATTTTCAATATATTTTTTAATGCTTTTTTTCATTTCTGAAAACCCATTTCATGGAAAATTTAAAAATAGTTGCCATGAAGGTCCTGTTCTATTGTCTTCTCTACATTTTACATAATTAATACATATATATTAAATAAGTTTTTTTTACCATAAAACCATTACCATCTTATACATCATTATATATATACTAGAACTAACTCATATATTATAGATATTCTTACTATTTAATAGGTATATATTTTTAAATTTTAATAACATATCTTTTTCATATATAGATATAGCAACGTTTAAATCGTCTATAGAATTGAATTTCGCATTAAGACTTAGTGTTATTGTCTAAAAATAATTGTTTAAAAATATATAAGATTAAATTAAAACATTATTTTACTTGTTAAATGGTGAAAATGGCTACGATTTAAATTAATGATTTTTTGGCGCGTACGGGGCAAATCAAATATCCTTTATGGCAGCCCGGAATTTATAATTTTAAAATCTTTTAAACTTATTTATTTTATACAAAATGTAATTTAGATCAAATGGATAGTATAACAATGAGGAGAATTGTTAAACTAGATATAAAACTAGACGAACTAATTAAAATTGGGCTATGATAACTTACAAAATATTCTAAATCTACAGACAACATGATTTTAGCTACTGAAATATGGTCAACTAGATGAAAAAATTCTGGAATGTTATATTTATTCTAAAAACATGTAAGTAACGATTAATTTGAAAAAGTAAAAAAAAAATAAAATTTTAATTATAAAATCTCTAAAATCTCTAAAATAATGATATGTAAAAAATAAACACATAAACATTATGATATTATCTTTTCCGGAATATAGCGGCAACATGCAATATTATAATGCTAAGGCTGAGAATTTTTTTAAAATTAGTAAGCTCAACAGTAGATGTGAGGCTATGCTATTAACTATTAATTTACCTGATAACATCTTTAACTTAGTTAGGGCCATATCGACAGATGAGTAGCTTGAATCTCCAGATATTTTGCTGAAAAGGCTAAAATTATTTTATAAAAGTAATGATATAAATCTTATAAATAAAAATATAGATAAACATATAATTAATACTTATAAATTAAACGAAATTTTTGTTGACATAATATGATTTGAAATAATTTTAGTATCTAAAGATAAAAATGATGAAAAAATATATATACCCATAAGATCACATGATGAAATTTTATAAGAGTATTATGACTGTAAAAATAATGATATAAATCGTAGTATTGAAAATATTAATGAAAATGAAATATATGAAATTCACATACACAAAATTTAAAAAAAAAATAGAATCCAAATCATTAAAGCTTGACACTTACGAATATAAAAAAATCAATAAAATATTATTTTCATTGAAGATAAAGGAAAACAATATTTTCGAGTTATTATATGCTTTAAAAAACAAGGGCACAAAGTTTAAATCTCTAAAGAGAAAAATGGATGTACAGATGTACATATCATTTTTTATTAAAAATACATATAAAATTTATATATCATCTTTTATTTAAAAAATACATATAATATAAAAATTATTTTTTCTAAAAAAAACGCATAATTAATAATACCATATAAAATGATATATCATTAAAAACGCTGTATTAAGAAATAAATATAAAATAATACAATATGAAATCTATTTATAAAACGCGAAATTGAATTACGCAAAACGCTATTATTTAAAACGCTATTATTTAAAACGCAATATATATAATATAAAATTAAAATAAAACGCGACCAATCATTCATTTCATTTCATTTCGATTATTCAATATTTGATTAATTTATTCTACTTCAATTATTCATAATCAAATTTGATATTCATTAAATTAATTCTATTTCGATATTCGACAATTCTTATTTTACTAGTTGATAACCCGTCAAAAATGACGGGGATGAGAATTTTATTCGTTCTTTTACGATAATTCTTTTTACCCCTCCCCCTCCTCCTTCAGGCCAATTCCAACCCATTAAAACTAAGAGAGAGGAATTGTCTTTTTTATTCAATGATTGATGAATAATATATTTTACCTTTATTTGATGATGGATGAATCAGACATTTTCCTTTTTATGAGATGTGATTTCGAAATTTATATTTTAAATTACAAAAATGAAACAATATCTCTTATTAGCACCCTAAATACTAACATTATTTACCAGAGCTCCTGTTAGTCAGAATTACTGTTCACTCCCCACCGCGTGAAGGTAGGAGATGGATTTTAGGGGAGCAAAGAAATGAAAAAAAATAATGAAAATAAGAAGGAAGAAATAGAAAAAAAGAGACAAAGATATGAATTATAAGAAAATATATTAAATATTTATACTTCAAGAGTTGATGATTATCGGGTTACAACACATATGCATTTGTAGCCATATAAAAAATATAATATAATAAATTTTATAATATAGAAAATTTTACCTAAAAAAGGAGATTTCAATCTCTTTTCTTTGCTCAAGGTGGTTTCGTTTTTGAAGATGATGTTGTGATTTCCTTGCTCGTAGTTTGTCGTAAATATGAAATAAAACGTGTAAATTGAAATTAAATAGAATATACTGTTGTTGGTGAGGAAGATGGTTTAGCGAAGGTGAAGAAGTTCTCTTTTATTTGCTCAAGGTGGTTTCGTTTTTGAAGATGATGTTGTGATTTCCTTGCTCGTAGTTTGCCGTAAATAACCTGAAATAAAACGTGTAAATTGAAATTATAAAATAGAATATACTGTTGTTGGTGAGGAAGATGGTTTAGCGATGGTGAAGAAGTCCTCTTTTTTTTGCTCAATGTAGTTTCGTTTTTGAAGATGATGTTGTGATTTCCTTGTTCGTAGTTTGCCGTAAATAACCTGAAATAAAACGTGTAAATTGAAATTATAAAATAGAATATACTGTTGTTGGTGAGGAAGATGGTTTAGCGATGGCGAAGAAGTTCTCTTTTCTTTGTTCAAGGTGGTTTCGTTTTTGAAGATGATGTTGTGATTTCCTTGTTCGTAGTTTGCCGTAAATAACCTGAAATAAAACGTGTAAATTGAAATTATAAAATAGAATATAATGTTTTTGGTGAGGAAGATGGTTTAGCGATGGTGAAGAAGTTCTCTTTTTTTTGCTCAATGTAGTTTCATTTTTGAAGATGATGTTGTGATTTTCTTGCTCGTAGTTTGCTGAAAATAACCTGAAATAAAACGTGTAAATTGAAATTATAAAATAGAATATACTGTTTTTGGTGAGGAAGATGGTTTAGGTGAAGAAGTTCTCTTTTCTTTGCTCAAGGTGGTTTAGTTTTTGAAGATGATGTAAAGTTGGTGATTTGATGGTGAATAACAAAGTTGGTGACTTTTTTAAATTTCTTACAAATTATGAATTTAAGATTTCATTATATACGATATTTTGTGTGAATGTTTTATCATTTTTTAAAATTTTTCCTTGTAATTCTGATGGCAAAATCATAATTTTCATATTATTTTGAGATTTACATCTAGTAAGAGCCACATATAGTTGTCCATGGGCAAAGACGGGCTCAGGGAGGAATAAGCCTACATGATCAAAAGTTTGTCCTTGACTTTTATTTATTGTAATCACAAAAGCGGGAATTATAGGAAACTGTCGTCTTTTTAAAGTAAATTGTAACTGAGAGTCACTTGGAGCTAGATCTATTCGTGGGAGAAAAACTCGATAACCCTTATTAGTGCCTGTCAATACCTCAGCGTCGATAAAATTAATATGTAAATGTCGTATGATTAAACGGGTACCATTACAAAGTCCTTTCTTTGGGCTCAAGTTGCGTAATAGCATAACAATTGTACCAACCTTAAGTGTTAGCTTGTGAGGTGGCATACCGGATGGAGTTTGTGAATGCAAAAATTCTAGTGGAAAATTCATTATATCATCCTTATTATCGCTTTCAATGGAATCTGCACTATAATAATGTTTGATAGGGCCTGAAATTATATTAATGATATCGTTGTTGAGGGTAAGTGCAATTTTATTTTTGGTGGTTAATATTATTTTAGTAGAAAGACTATCTATATCAGCAATTTCTATAGAATTACCATACACACATTTTATTAATGAATCATTTTCAAGCAAATAAGGTGGAATTTCAACACTATTTGTAGGAAGATCAGAATTGCTGCGTGATAGCCCATCTCCAATTTTAAGTAATCAAGCATTGTAATCAACTTGATCTGATGAAATACGGATATTATCAATCAAATGTATTATTTTAAAATGACTCCATAAATATGAATTTTATACAGGACTCTATAATATCGACTTTGGAGCCTTTAGGCACTACTGGTAAAGTGTGTCTAAAATCCCCACCTAATAAAATTACTTTTCCGCCAAATGGGTGGGAATTTTTCATAATGTCTTTAAGTAATCGGTCAATGCATCGCAAAGCGTGTTTAGTCATCATTGTGGCCTCATCAATAATAATCAATTTGCTATTTTTAATATCTAGAGCTAGCGAATATGTAAATTCATATGGGATGTAGAAGTTTCAAAGATAGGCATAGGTAATTTAAATCCGCTATGGATGGTTCTTCCCCCCTTTAAAAGAATAGAGGATATGCCGGTGGTTGCAAAAGGCAATACAATTTGATTTTTTCCTCTTATATAACACATTAAGGTATTGTAAAGATATTTTTGTAGGTGAAGGAAGATCAAAACTTTGACAGCATAAACCATGATCAAGAAAAACGTTTTCAATGTCCATTAAAGCCATGTTTATTGCAATTACTTCTGAATATTGACGCAAATAATCTTCAATCATCATAAATCTGAACCTATTCCGTAGATATGCAGGATTTTCAGGCTGACAAAAAATGCAGATAAAGGCAAAAGTACTCCGAAGTTGTGACGGCATTTGATATATTGATCCCTCTTCTAAGCATGATTCCCACTCTTTATCATCTGATAACAAATTTCTTTTAATAGCTGCCTCTTTAAAAGTACTCATTAAAATTCCATTAATAGTTTTTAAATAATCAAAACTTGTAGCCCCGCAAACATGAAGTAATAATAATCGAAGGAAGAATCGTTCACCAGAATTTTGATGAACGGAATACATTCTCGAAATTACATTTAATCGTTTTTTTCTTAGTTTCCAATGGTAATTTGTAAACACATAATGATAAGGTATTTCCCCATAAAGATATTGTCTAGCATTTAGATCTGTCTTATTTAACTCAAACCATGCCGTTAAAGTAGTATGTTTATTTTCTGATCTCAATAAAGCATCTCTTTCATGTCCAGCAGTGAAATATACTGGCTGTTGTAAAGGTAAATGAATTCCTAAGCGAATAACAGCGTGCGAGCGGTCATGCATATTATTTTCTAATAATCTCCACATTGATTCACATGCACTCACATATCGCGCATTTAAATGTGATTTAATTTTGTCATGAATATTTATATTTGAAGCAACATTAATGTCAACATTAGTACAGTCATAACCCTTATAAATATACTTAAAGATATATTTTACCGATTTAATAGATGTACAAATTTCCACGTTAATATGAGCATTGAATTTTAACATTAGATATCGATTATATGGAATAACATAACGATTATCCTTAGGTTTACCGGAAAGAATTGTAATGCCATTATCTCGCCTTTTATAATATGGATACCCATCAATATTTGGTCTTGTTTCCATTTGAAAATCCTTCGGAAATTTTTTGGTACATATGCCATTTTCCATGCAAGGCGATTTGGGGTTAAATATCCCGCAAGGACCATGTATCATAAAATGGGTAACAATCTGAAAAAGTTTAGGATCGAGAATTTTATCTGGCATTTCGGCACAAACAAATTTATCTATAGCTTGAGATGTTTCAATTTTGCTATCATCGTTTAAAATAATAAGTATATGGGCATGAGGCAAACCTCTTTTTTGGAACTCGATTGTATATATAAAAGCCATAGATTTACCAAATAAATTTTTTTTATTTATATCGAACAATAATTCATTTAATTTCAATTTAAAAACACGGGCTATTAAATCTGGTCTATCTGTAGGACTTTGCCCGGGAAATAGATTTTCCTTAATTTCACGCCAATTAGGATTGCATGTAAAAGTAAAAAACAAATCAGGTTTGCCAAATTTGAGCACAATGGCCATTGCATCGTGATAGCGTTCTCGCATATTTCTTTGAGAACCTTGAAAAGATGATAGTAATATTACTGCTTTGCCGGGAATTATATTGTTTGACTTTGTTTCCAAGTAGTCCATTAATCCAGAATATTCATCTACTCGTAATTTTGGCTGATTTTGTCTAATAAAATTTAAATTATTCGCCTCGACCTGTAAATAGGAATTAACAATATATTGTTGTGATAATCCCAGCAAAAAGGATTGGGTTGAATTCATTTTCACGAATTGCTAATCTAAATATTTTAAACTGTAGAAGTGAGATATTTGCCCTTGTACGCCCTTTAAATCTGGTTTCCAACCAGGGTCACCAAAAGGAAAAATAGAGGATATACCATTGGATCAAGATTAGGGCTTAATATATTTATATTTATCAGATCACTACCATCAACTCGAGGATAGACCTTGATATCCCGTTTAAATGGGAGTTCACCATCATCATTTGTAAAAATCATGGCTACTTCATCTATATTAGGAATGTTATATCTTCGCTTGTCACTTGAGCGATCTGCACGAAAAATCATATTGATTTTTTGAACTGGACGATTTTCTTGAATAGCCCTATTTTTTTCTTCTTTCTCAATTTCTCCCAAGGTTTTAAAACTAATAGAAAATGGGTTATTCTGTCTTATTAAAATATCTAATCTTTTTAAGAGATCCTCATTGCAACCAGAATTTTCTTTCATGTGTAACCTGCCATTAACAGCCTGGGTGGTCTCAAGGACATATAGTTGTGCAGATTTAGGAGACATCCCAGTGGAAGGATATAAATGAGATGTTCGGTGATAAATTTGCCCATGAACTCTAAAACAATATGGGCCTGGGTTTAAACTATTAGAAATCTGTGCTCCCATGGATGCGAACGCAAGTGAACTATTATAAGATCTTATATATTTCATAAAGTTTGAATGAAATTCATTGTTAGGATTAGATAAAAGGTCTTGTAAAAAAGGAATATATCGGATTGATGGTATCTTAACTTTACCCTTATGACAGCAATTCTTAAATTTGCCATCTGTGGGTTTTTCCAATAAAAAATTTAGAGAATCGCAATAATCGCACTTAGTGTTGAGTAATCCACAATAATGTTCTTGTACTAATGATTGTTGTGCAGAAATATTTATCTAAAATAAATAAAATAAATTTGAGGCCTGCTAAAAATTATACATATAATTTAATATTTTTGTGATTATTCAGAGACCTGCAGACCCGGTGTAATTGTAAAATCAATACTATCAAAAATCAATACGTTATTGATTTTTATAAATCTTTGATTCGACATTTATATATGAATCACAAAATTTTATAAACTCAATCAATAAGGTCCATTTAATTTATTTGAATTCATAATATCATTTATAAAACTTTGAATCAACAATTATATAGCACTTCACAAATTACAAATAATGAGTAAACAAATATAAAATATATAGGATATCAAGAATTGTAAAATAAATAAATTCCCTGATAAATTATATAAAAGAATAGAAAATCATATTTATCATTTTAATATGTTTAAAACTATCAAATCTATTTTAAATAAATTTTTTACAAATCGAAAATGGCCGCCAATATTTATAAAGCTATGAAAAAATATATAATAAATAAATATTTTATAATTTTAATGGTCGCCAATATATTTGAAGCGATGCAAACATCTTAAAAATCTATACGGTATTGATTCTACAATAGCAATATATCACTACGGTATTGAATCTATAATGATATCAATACGGTATTGAAGTTACAATGGGTATTGATTTCACAATCAATTCACCGGCTCTGAATGCCAGGCTTATAATAATTTTTTCTAAAATATTCCATGGGTAATTACGATTATGTAGCACATACTTATTTTATCTTATATTTTGCCCGTCAAGATGATAGTGAAATAAGAATTTTCTTTTTTATTAGTTGATGAAATATATTTTTTATTGTGGACATAAATTAAAATTAATAACCATATACTTCATAAATAAATAATAAATTTTGAATAACCCCTGATGATGGATAAATCAAAAATTTTCTTATCTATCTTATGAGATGTGATTCAGAAATTTATATTTATTAAAATATTTGTTATACATAAATTAAAATTTTTAACTTGGTTTGTTTTTATTGATTTGGGTAGATTAAGATTTTGGTGAATAGTAGATTTTGGTAGTGTCTAATTTAAAAAAATTTATTTGTTAACATAAATTAAAATTTTTAACTTCGTTTGTTTCTATTGATTTGGGTAGATTAAGATTCTGTTGAATGGTACATTTCGGTAATATGATTCGTAGAATCTAATTTTTATAAATTTATTTGTTAACATAAATTAAAATTTTTAACTTGGTTTATTTTGATTGATTTTGGTAGATTAAGATTCTGCTGAATGGTACATTTCGGTAATATATATCGTGGAATCTAATTTTAAAAAAATCTATTTGATAACATAAATTAAATTTTTTAACTTCGTTTGTTTTTATTGATTTGGGTAGATTAAGAGTCCGTTGAATGGCACATTTCGGCAATATGATCCGTGGAATCTAATTTAAATAAAATTATTTATTGTCATAAATTAAAATTTTTAACTTGATTTGTTTTTATTGATATAGGATCACTGAAAAAATTATACTTAGATATTGCACCAAAGGTATCTTGTGTAGGAATCTAAAAAAAATAATAAAATAGATTTTAATGGCCCACAGTAATGTTCAACTTGTTCTTGATTTTCAGTATCTTCAAGATGATTGGATGTTGAAGCAAATTGTTTATTTCCAGTATCTTCAAGATGGTTGGATGTTGTAGGAATAAGACTTTGCTCGTTCCTTTTCTTGATACGACAAAGTGCCTGTCTCTTTCTAGCTTTCTCCTTATGTTGATTTATTATTAAAATTTAAAAATATAAGAATTACTCAATTTTATAAAAATAAGTTTAGTTTAAAATATTTATTATTGTGGACATAAAATAAAATTACTAAATATATACTTCATAAACATATTTATAAAAAATAATGGAAAATATTAGAATAGCCCCTCACCTAATAAATATATATTTCGGAATCACATCTTAAAAATATAAAATACACTCTTGTTGAAGCAATAATGCCTTCTTTAGATTTTGGTAGTATGAAACGTTCCATTGTTTGGTTTTATTGAATGGTATCTTGTGTAGGAATCTAAAAAAAATAATAAAATAGTATTTATAAAAATTTTAACTTACATTGCCTATGAGATAACCTTAAAAAACTTATTTAATATTATATGTATTTATTATGTAAGTTTGTATTTTGTGCAGGAATCTAAAAAAATAGTATTTATAAAAATTTTAAATTACATTGCCTATGAGATAACCTTAAAAAAAATATTTAATATATGTATTTATTATGTAAGTTTGTTTTTTGTGCAGGAATCTAAAAAATAGTATTTATAAAAATTTTAACTTACATTGCCTATGAGATAACCTTAAAAAACTTATTTAATATTATATGTATTTATTATGTAAGTTTGTATTTTGTGCACGAATCTAAAAAAATAGTATTTATAAAAATTTTAACTTACATTGCCTATGAGATAACCTTAAAAAACTTATCTAATATTATATATATTTATTATGTAAGTTTGTTTTTTGTGCAGGAATCTAAAAAATAGTATTTATAAAAATTTTAACTTCCCTAAATCTGCCACTTAACGTGGTTAAAATAGAATAGATAAATGAATTTTCAAATATAAAATAAGATGCTCAGATAAAACGTAAGTATATGTAATGTTCAACTTGTTCTTGATTTTCAGTATCTTCAAGATTAAGATGTGTAAATTGAAAGTATATGGTTTTGCTCGATGTGGTGTCTGTTAAAAAATATAATTATTTACTGATGATTGAAGGTTTTGCTCGATGTTGTGTCTGTTAAAAAAAATATCAATTATTATAATTATTATATGTTTTGTAATTGTTTTTTGTATTGAAATTCTTTTTTTGAAAATGGCGGTTCGATTTGGTTTATGAATGCGTGTTTGATATGTTTAAGCTATGATGATTTTTATTGAATATATATATTATAGATTTGAATTCCTTAGCTCTTGTAGGATTATCTGCAAACATTTTTTTCATACTAATGTTCCTTCCTGCCTATTGCCTCAAAATACTTCTGAAATGCTTTCCATGATTTATAGGAGATTAAATCCATTTTGCTAATATGATCTAAATTGGCTTAAAATTGCTATGATAGATAGATAGATAAATTATAGATATATAGAAAGAACAATATATTTGACATCAATTAAGACAAAATATTTACATTTCAACTTAGAAATATAATGCTATTTAAAATAAAATATAATATTATAGATGGCGCTAAATATCATGGAGATTAAAACTACAATTTAACATAACTTAAATACTTCCGAATTTGTTAATACTAATTAAATATTATTAAGAATCACTCTCTATTTAAGTAGGACAAACGTCCAATAATTAATAAAGAAGTTGAATATTACATAATATATTAACAAAATTATAATTGACTATTATCAGGTAAAATAATTGACTATATAATGTCACAGTTGTGACTGTAACTGCTATAATCATTTTGATTGGACAAATAATATTTAAAAGAAAACTATTGGCTAAATTTGATTGACATATTTTGAGGATTATATATATAGATTACTACGTTATTCAATAATACCTACATTCTAAAATTATTCAAAATCTTCGCATATATATTTAATAACAAACAATGATAATAATTAACAGAAGGATGACAAAGTCAATTCATATGAACAACTAAACCATTTTTCAAAGATTTGGAGGGAGTAAGACAAGATAAGAAAGTTTACGAACAAAAATCAACTTATATTCGATATGACAATACCCAGATGATGCCATATATTGAGAACAACAGACATTATGATAATAATTACAAACATCAGTTTAGACAACCATGGCAGACTCGACCATATTATAGCAACCAAAGATTTTACAACCAAAATAACTATCATTTACCAAGACGAAACTATGACAGATTTTATGATCAAAATAGATGGGAAACTCCTTGAACACGAAAGATTTACGTCTAAAGAGAACCTAGGCGGGGTTCCTTTAGAGGGTGGAATGTTAAACATGGATTGGTTATTATATAGCGCAAATTTTTGTATGTTGCATTCATTAATTTACACAATTTATATTAACTTTACTTTATAGTTTCATTTAATTATTTAATAATTTTATTTTATATATAAAGGATAAATTTATTATAGTTTTAGAGTTAAATTATAGTTGAAATATTTATAAAATATATTTATTTAATAAAAGTTTTAAATCTTTTTATTTTATCTTCCTTACTCCCTGCCAACCTTAACAAAAATAATGCTGATTTATGATGCTAACGTATTAATATTTACTAATTATACAATTATTAAAAAAAATATCGCATTATCTTATATGATAAATTTGTTATTTTCTACAATTTATTTTCAAATTTTTTATAAATTTATATTATAGGTAAGAAAATAAAGCTTTATACATTTTGATTTTGACTATTTAAAGTTTTTAAAAAAAGTATCTTGTATCTTAGATACTTTTTTTAAAAAAAAATACAAGTATCTTGTATCTTATATCTTATTGAAATTTTTCTAAAGTATCTTGTATCTTAAATACAAAATTTTATAAAGTATCTGTATCTGTATGAATACAATTTTCTGAAAATTTGCCCAACCCTGGCTAAAATATAAAATAGAAATGCTTGAAAATTTTTTAATTTTAAAT